TCAACGCCTTCCAAAAATTACTCACAAATGTTGTTCCCCTAGTTTGAAACAATCTTATCCGGCAAACCATGTAACCGAAAAATGTTCTTCCTAAACAGATTAGCCAAAACAGCCGAGGAAGAAGATTCTCTACACGGAATGAAATGAGTCAGTTTACTTAACAAATCAACAACAACTAGAATTGAATCAAATCCAGCAGAAATGGGTAGCTTAGTTATCATATCCATACCAATTGTACTCCATGGTTTTGCTTCTGACACCAACGATACCAGCTTGCCATCACCTATCATCCGCCGAGCCTTAACCCGCTGACACGAATCACACGACTTAACAAATGCCAACACCGTTGATTTGACTCCCGGCCAAGAAAAGGTCCTCAACACAACGGTGCCACAGAGACGATACGATACGGTATCAGGCGTTTATCTGTATCGTCTCAGAATTGGAATACCCAAAAATACCGGATTTGTGTTGTCTCACTTTCCTGAGACATATACATGTATCGTATTTGAAAAGTGAGAAATGTATTCTGTATAGTCTCAGATGACTGATCCCACCAAAACCGTATTTGATACATAAGATACTTGGCTGTATTGAAGAAAAAACGAAAAAAAACGAAGACGATTTTTTTTTTCATTTTTAAATCCAAATCCGATACAATGTATTTTTTCACCAACCAAGGAAATACTGGTACCGGTATCAGGCTCAAAATAAATACGATACGATCCGATACAAATACATGTCTCGTATCTGTGGCACCGTTGCTCAACAGGATCAAAAGCGTACAAGCCACTCCCGGATGTCCCACCGCAGGTGAATCATGATACATTGTTATTATCCGAACTCGTAATGAATCTGGAACATAAACTCTATCCCGATGCCACAAAATACCATCCTTCAATGTCAGTGATTGTATAGCCGTATCAGCATCTGAATAATGCCTCTTTAGAAAAGAGGGGCTTGGTTAATCGACTCCCCAAAATTGGAGAGCCGACTCCCAAACCCCGAAACCCCCGAAATTAGGGAGTCGATCCCCCAAAACCGTCGACCGGTTTGAAAGTCGACTCCCTAAGAATTTAATAAAAAAAAAATAAAAAACCCCGGTTGGTTTGGGAGTCGATCCTCCCAAACCGACCAGGGTTTGGGGGTCGATAAACCAAATCAACCCCCACCCCACGGCAGCGGCCGGGAGGCATCCTCCCGGCCGCGAGACCGCATTCTCAACGGCCAAGAGGGGAAACCCTCTCGGCCGTTGAGGGTATGTACACTCTTGACGCCGAGAGGGTCTCTCCTCTCGGCCGTCAAGGTGTACACTCTCAACGGCTGAGAGGAGAAACCCTCTCGGCCGTTGAGGGTATGTACACTTTCGACGCCAAGAGGGTTTCCCCTCGCCGTCGAGAGTATACACTCTCAGCGCCCTATGTTCAGTTCTCCTC